TACTTACCCTCACTAACTCATCCATTCAAGTGAAAAGTATTTCCACAATATTGTTGTCTAACTTGTTAATACTACTTATGTGCTGAACATAGTTCCCTAAAATTCAACCCAAAATAGTTTTTTTAAAAGAGAAATGAGAATGGCATCTAAAAAAAAACCCAATTTTAATCAAAATGACATGTCAAAAGCTATACACAACATTCAATAATTATTTAAGAAATCTTTAGTGGTAATACAGGAAAGGCTTGTAACTATATTTAAAAACATTCCTGCATTTTTCCTATTTTAAGGATGTAAGGTGATGAGCTTAAGTCTTTGGATTTGGAGGATCTCCTGTCCATGACCCTAATCTTCAGCTCCTTTTGTGGATTTTCTGTCCGACTAAAGTTGGGACCCTGGAAGCGGTACACTGTAATAATGTTTTCTGTCAGAAGAAGCTCATTTATCAAATGAAAAGGGTTTAGGATACATGTGCATAAACAGATTCAGTAAATATTCCCTATTCGCAGCAAACATAAAATATATTGCTTCTACTTTATTTTTCTCTCAAAGGAAGAGTATATGTGTTTTTAAAACATTACTTATATACCTTTTAAGATTTGTTATGTCAGTTTTATATATAAAGCAAGTTAATGCCCATAAATCACCTCAAGCTTCTTATTTAAATGCACAGCCTGCAGTCAAATTTTTAATGAATAAGTTATGGACCAATGGAACTACAGTATAGCTCTAAGCCTCGCCTGCTTGAAGTCTTTTACCAGCACACAGAAGCACTAATGACAAGGAGGGAGATTTGCAGATCATATAAAGCTTCTGTAATTGACTGGGTGCCAAAATCAGATAAGCAGACCCAATTTCCTACTTGCGGTGTTAAATAGCAAATGGTCTGGACTGAGTAGAGAGCTTAGTGATAAAACAGCGCTGGCCCATTAAAGGTTGCCAGTAATGCAACAAACTTCCCTCTAAGACAAACACTGGGACTAGCTTTATGTAGTCAAACAGGGAGAAAACCAAACAGAGCAGCTATCTTGTTACAGGATTTTAAAACCTTATCAGAGAACATCAACAAATATTGTCTGAACTCATATATCTTCTCTGAATTTAATGAATTCTGATCTGCTCTTCAGGTACTTGGCCTGAAGAGCAGATCCTCTCCATCTAAAAATGTTTAAGATAACCACCCAGCCGAACACAGGCAGAAAGAAAAATGGTCTGTATAAGACGCAGTGATGGATTATCAGTCACATACTTGTTTTAGAGACACCAACCTACACATGTGTCTGCTGGACTTCAGGTTGTCTTTGGGTATGGTAAATGACAGACAACAACGACAGAAAAACTTCACTGATAACTTGAAGAAAAGCACAAAGTTGGGGGATGCAGCCGATCACTCGCAGACAAACAAAGAAAGCAGCCGCCGGGCCGTGAGTAAAATCAGCTCATTTAGAATATCAATGAAAGCGCTGCTGTGCTGCAGAGAAACTACATAGCAAAGTTGTTGATTTTGGAAAAGGATTGTAGCAAAGAATGATGTTATCTGATTTACTTTTTCGAAAGTGAAGGGATCTGGCTTGAGAAACCTGTTCAAAAACTTAGTTTTACTTATTATTTAGGTAGCACATGAATATCATGAATTTTTTTTGGCAGGATTCAAATGAGCCATTTTAATCTAGGTTAATTCCAGGATTACAGTAATATTAACCGAGATTAAAAAAATGTATCTATGCCCACTACTTGCGCTGTCAGCTTAATTCATGTGATATATATATATATATATATATATATATATATATATATATATATATATATATATATATATATATATATATATATATATATATATATATATACACATATACATATACACACTAGTTGAAATTTAAATCCAATGGAAGTCCAAACTGCTGGACGGTTACATATTTATATTCCAGAAACATATGAGAAATTTATATTGCTTGCGATAATTCTTGCTTTTATCATCCATCAGACATATAGAGAGGCAGTAGTGGTGAAGAAATCCATAGTAGGGTACTGTGGTCGTTTATCATATGCTAAAGACCAAAGGTCCATATGAAAGATATATACCGTATATACCAATGGCCGAGAACTGCAATAATTATTTGAAAATGCATCAGAACCGATAAAACATTTAGTTTTACTAAATTCATTACTTCAATTATCAGATATTTTAATAGAGATATGCAGCATTAGCCATACAATGGTTAATTTTCTACAATCATCTTTGAATTTAGGAGCCTTACATTTTTTTTTTATCTCATTCAAGAGATGTAGTCTACAGAGTAAAACCATAGTGAATAATCAGAGAAGACGTCTGTGTTTGCTCACAATTTCAACTGCCTCTGAGGCCCTTTCCCCTAAAGCAGTGTGTGTGGACTTTCAATCAAATACTTGAACAACCATCAGCCATGAGGAATCATTTTCTTCACTCTGTTGGCCCCGTTTTCCTATTGTCTGTCCATTCCTGACAGCCATAGGGGGGGTTGTCTTCCAGTTGCAATAGATTGGCTTTAATACAGTAGACAGGAGTCAGATAAAGCTTAAATCATTAGGGGATAGAAAAGCAGAGGTTGTAACCCTATGTTGCCACACTAGACTGAGCACTAACAGCAACACGATGGATGTGATATTAAATAAAACACAGTGTTCTCCTCGTCCTCCCTTTTCCCCCCTTTCTCTTCCTCTCTTTGTTTCCTAAACTGCACAATATTTCAATTATGATCATCTTTTCAATATGTATGTGTGTTTCACTGTAATTAGAAGAACAGTTTGGATGCAATAACCTTTTTATCTTGAGTGCCATCATTTCTGAGGGGCAATAATTTATTTTACCATTTGAACAGACTCTCAAAGCTCTGCATGTAAACACTGCATGTAGGGTGTGGAGGTGGATGAGCTACTGAAGTTAAGACATAGTGCTCAGAAATTCTCCTTCCTTATTATTTCTTAATAAAAGAAAATAAAAGAGAAAAATTTGGGTAATATCCTCAACGCAACACTCAGCACAACTATCACTATTACATTTTCTTGAGACTGTGCGGTTGTATCTGCTTCTATTCTTAGTGTCAACCATCCTTCTTGTGGCAGTGGCTTATGTTTCCATTGGCTGATTTAGAACAGTTTTGTCTTGTTTGTTCAGCCATCTTGCTGGATTTGTCATGATAGGGGAAGTTGTGGATGGCCCAATAAACAGGCAGAAAATTGGAAAATGCTTCTGTCAGGTGCTTATGGGGAAAACGTCCTCTGAGCAGACTGGGTGCTTCAGCAACGAGGAGTTATAAACCAGCCATCACATGTTGTTATTTCAGTTATTTGTCCAGTAAATTTTTCTATTGTTGAGGATGTGGCTAAAGCCACATCCTCAACAATAGAAAAAAAAAAAAAAGCCTGATACCCCCACTCAGATAGCACTACAAAGGAAGAGCCACAAGCTTTATGCTAAAAAAAAAAAAAAAAAAAAAAAAAAAAAAAAAAAAATTGACCTGACACACATAAATAACAAACAGATAGGCTTTAGTTGTTTTGCATGCCACTCTTCATGTTTTTAGACCTGGGAAAGGATCTTTTTTAAAGACAAAGGGCGCAAAAGTTTTTCTTAAATAAAAACAAGCAAAACTTGTCTGCATTCTCAAATTAAACTTAATTCAATTCTAAAATACTTTATCAATCTCAAATAGTATTCAAAGGAAGGACATTTAAAGCTGAACTTTACACGTTACAAAGCGATTAGCATGTGCAAAACCAGTGGGCCGTGGCCACAAACCTTCTGTAAATATGCATATCATATTCTAAAGAGAAAACCACAAACAGGTGGAGGGTATGCAAATTAAAATACTTAAAATTCGCGAAGCAATTTTTCAAACTGCAAAGTGATAGTGGGTGCAGCAGCTTTTCCATCTATTTTTAGCACATTTGAAAGTCAGGTGCTAACCTGAACGGTCACTGTGGCCATGAAGGACGTACTGGTACAATGAGGCACAATGGAGAGAAAGGCTGTGTGCATATGAGCATATTTGAAAAAGATTACAATAAGAGAATATAACTAGTTTAAAAATGACATCTGACGAATGTATGCAGGGAATCTAATTTGCCTCATTTTCTGGTTTTGTTCAAAGATATTTGGACATTGCTTTCATTAATAATCCACAAAACTCTGTAAATAATATAGATTTATTGTGTTTATTTTTGCAAAGAAGAAACTAGGCACTCAACTTTCATATTCCCACCAGATTCTGATAAATACTACAGCTGTTCAATATAAAAAGAAATGTCATCACCTTTTTTTTTGTTCATAACGACTGACTCTACCATTTATCCTGCATATAGTTTTCTAACAAGAACATATGAGGGTTGTATCATTACATTTCCATGGTTTAACTATGAACAGTTGCTTACTTTGATGCAATTTTTTCTTTAAATAAATTCTCCTATTCTGCAAGTCTAGTGAAATATTATTCTTAAAGATATGACTTTTAAAATCTAAACCTGAAATGGTATCTGTTTTCTATTTTGTTCAAAACATTCCCATGAAGAATGTCCAGAGATTTTTCGGAAAGAGCTAATTATCCATTTGGGAGCAGAAAAAAAAAAAAAAACAGGGCTGGCTCTACAGAAAGGGTGAGCTAATGCGATGATCTATGTAACAAACATCCATATGGGATGCATGTCTCTTATGTGAAAACATATATGTTAGAATTCAAAAATATTTTCATCTCATATGATCCATCAGAAAGTAATGCAGAGGTGATCTGTCTATAAAGAACCACTGCTGTTTTGCTGGTTCAACTTTGTTTGTTTTCTATGCACAATATGTTCCTCATCAAACGCAACCTACAGCAGTCAGCCCTGAATGACTCAGCTGCTTATAGTGACAAATGTTTTCCAGTTTAAAGTTTACTTAATAGCAAACAGCATGCCTGTGTACCACAAACACACCTCTGAAAGCATTTGGCTTATTTTTGGTGAAAGAGAAAACAGTTTACCTTGTAAAGCACCATGATGATATGTCGTAGTTTGAGTCTATGGAAAACACAGACGTCGTACATTGCTGACACAGCCAAAACGGTCACTCCCAGCTCCTTCCACAGCATGCTGCAAGCAGCGCAGGCCAAGCTGCTCAGGAGCCATGCAGCAAGCCGCAACGAGCCAGCGTGGCCCCGCAGCCGACAGTGATGTATATAACACAACAAGGACAGCAGGAAGAAAAGGGCGGCCCCTTCGTCGGCTCGTCCGACTACACCTGCCACCGCTTCGGTGTGAATAGGATGAGAAGCGAACAGCAGACCAGCCAGTAGGCTCCACAGTCCTCCTCCAAGCAGCAGTCGAGCCAGTGAGGTAAACAGGATGGAAACAACTCCATGGAGGGCGACGTTGACTAAGTGGTAACCCCAAGGGTCCAGCCCACCCACAGCATAGTTGAGGCGGAAGGAGAGGGTGCAGAGGGGTCTGTAGGACTTATGGCTACCACTGTGTGTGAGTAAGGTACCCCAGAAGTCATCGTAAAAGATGTTTATCCAGGATGTCTCTGGAAGTAGGTCTTGATTGGTCTTGATGGCGCGGCTGTAAAAAACAGAAGTAAGGAAGAGTGTTAATATGAGGCTTAAATCAATACTTAAACGCTTCCATGAAGTGACACTGATTCACTACCCGACCATCTAGCTGCCTATTTGAATTAAACATAAAAAATGTTTAAAGTTCACAAATATGATGCGCTGCTATTCAAACTGTGCATCTAAGCAGAAAAGTCGCTTACAGTATCAGTCTGAAAAAATGGTCACTTGGCAACCATCCATGTTACCACATAAATGGTAAATGGCCTGTACTTATAAAGTACTTTTTCAAGTCACGCTACTGAATGTAGCGCTTTACGCTACATTCAGTCATCCATTCTACAAACTATAAAATAGCCACAGCTGCCCACTGGGGCTCACTGACAGAAGCTAGGCTGTCGTACACTGGCGCCACCGGGCCCTCTGACCACAATCAGTAAGCGGGTGAAGTGTCTTGCCTAAGGATACAATGACACTGAAAGCCGGAGCTGGGGCTTGAAACATCAACCCTTCGATTTCAGGGCAAACTCCTACATCCGACGCCACTGTCTTTCACCATTTGTTCTTGAATTGAGGAGGTAAGTGAGACACTTTGCCAATGGAACGAGACAATTTACATTTAAAATAAGAAAACAACAATTGTATTGTCTTCTTTCAAGTGCATATTATCCAATTATCTTATTATAAGATAAAAAAAAAACTTTATGTTATTTAGCTGTTATGCTATTTCGAGATCGTTTTTGCAGTGCAACTGCTGTTTTTGTTATGATAGCCACACCATAATAATCACCTAAATTACAGTAAGATACCAAAAATCCAGTATAAAATGCTAGCTTTTAATTTTTTTTTAATGTTTATCTTATGTTTATGTTTTCAACATGACCTCTCTCTCTGACCGAGACTGACATCTAATCTGGTCCGAGAAGAATAAATTTATGTTCTGACCAAAGATCCAAGTTTCCTTTAAATATACAGAACAGCTCCACACCAACAGTTATGAGTACCCACATTAAGGGGATGGTCATTTAGAAAGAGGATTGTTTCCTTCTCGTTTGCTCCTGTTGTCAGGATCTGGGCTGGAAGGGCAAAGCATTAGATGTATCCATGTTTAGAGGTAATTAAGAACCACAAATGTGGGACTTAGGTTTCATTTTAAAAACACCAGTAATCACTAAGAGGAAGTTTTGGAGTTCTCCTTTGTCAGAGAAGAGCCTGCGTGACCTAACCCAACGCTGCTTCATCAGCCACAAGCTGTTTGTGTCAGTGGCTGCTGGGACTAGGGCAGGGGTTGAGGAAGGAGGGAGAGGAAGGTCTGCATCTCTCCAGGGGTCCTCACAGATACGGTAAAGCCTTTCAATGTTTCCCTGTTTCACTACAAGGTCTCTGACAGGGCAGCACGCCTATGATGCTTTTCTTTCAGACAATGATGGCCACAATTTGCTTAATGAGCCCCCCTTTGAGAAAAACGCCTAGCAAAAGCAGAGCGGAGGTGTTGTAATTGCAAGTTTGATAAATGACACCTGACAAGTGATAACAAACCGTGCGTACAAGGTTGTAATCTCCTGGCGGTAGTCACAATTTACACACATAGTTAGCCCGGGGAGAAATGTGTGGAGAAAAGGAGGAAGAAGGCCTGTTGATCATGCAAGCCTGCACATTTTCATTATTTGGGATAAAAAAAATTAAAAAATAAACTATTCTACATAAGAAAATTAAAGTTAAAGAACAACTAACCCCCAATATGGCTACTTAACTGCATACATGGATGCTGTGCCGTCCTTTCTACATGCACTGGATACTATGATTGTATTATTATCATTTTGACAATTTCTAGAACAGTTGATAAAATCCTGCATTTGGCATCTAAAACCACCTGTGTGGCGCCCTACTCTTATCAAATTAGTGTACTGCATTGAAACCATTTTCAGCCATTGGTGTTACTGGCTTAAAAGATATTGTGACATCAGTAGCCTTGTCCCTGTAGAGCAGGGGTCATCAATGTGGGGGTATGTTAGCATCCAATCAAGGCTTTAAAAGCCTGCCTTAAACTCAACGGCTCCATTGCCGTTGAGTTTAAGTTAAAATATCCAGCCATCTTTGAACATTAATTTATGTTATTTAGCATTATTTACCTCACCAGACCATGACCAGCACTCATCCCCTACACTTTCACTGGTTTCCTAAATATAGCGATACAAGGAAGTTCAGTCAAGCACTGACTGTTCATCCAGATCCCATTCGGCAGATTCTAGTCCTGAAGAATCATCCCATCATTTGCGTGTTGGTTTAATATAGAACTAACTAGTGTGAGATGTAATTAAACTTTCTTTAAGAGGAACCTTGTCTTATATACAATTTGAAACTGAATTTGTCCAAAGATGAAAAGAGCATTAATCTCCCAAACACAGTTTTTCCTCTGTGCAGGATGGCTGTGCCCTGCGAGTCTGCAGCGTGCCCCCTAAAATCCTGGTTTGCTTTGGCAGGAGGCTCCACATGTTGCTGCTCCTGCAAGCTGTTTTTTTCTGGTGATTTGTTTCCCTTTTTTTTTATGCATGCTGAAACTACAGAAATAAAACCGACAGCAGAGCAGAGGCAATCTCTTTAGAGTCACTGGAAAAATGAAAAACGTTGGGAAAAAAATTCAAAGCTCTAAAAGGATGGCCCCCATCCTAACATTTTAAAGAGCAAAAAAACAAACAAATAAATTTGATTCTGGACCCCTTTAAAAGGCCCTAGTATTGAGATCACGCAATGCTGTCTTCCCACAGGTCAAAATGTATTATTTAATCAATAATAAAATGCCAACCTCTTTGCTGTTAAGCATCAAAGACATCACAATGCAGAAGAAACTGTGTATTCTCTTTAGACTTAGACAAACTTTAATGTCATCTTGTATACACAGTGTATACAAAACAAAATTTCTATGCATACAGCTTTTCAAAAGTGAATGAGCAGCTTTACAGTGAAATTAACATTCCCATTTATAAAGTGCAGCAGTGATCAAAATGTAAACGGTGTAGGAGAAAAATAAATCTATTGGATTAGGACCTATAGCCTGGGAATTAGAATTTGAGGCTCTTCTGTTTATCAGTCATAAAACCTAACTGCACTTGATTTGCCATAATTCATCTTCTGCTAACATGTTACACTGTTTTTATGGAAGAAAATATTCAACTGGAGTGAATTAAGTCTTTAAAGCATTGAAGCGGAGTAGTGTGAAAGATATCTGCCCTGAAGCAGAGATTCTCGACCACAGATAGCAGCATTTATCAAATCATAAAATTAGATGAAATACTAGAAGTTGCAGAAACGGTACCTATAATGATAGATTGAAAACAGTAAATGCTACCAGCCAGCAGGAAGCCTGAGAGAGAGAACCGTAACAATCAGCAGGAAGATGATGAAACTGTCAGGCACATCAGCACACATGTGATTAGGTTTCTCCACTTTCTCTGGTCAGAATGATGAAGGTGGAGTAGCTGAGCCCTCCGCTTCATCCCTCAGTCATGCCTTTCATTCGTCTCAGCCTATTTGTCAAGTGAGATCTTTATTTCAATACAGGAAGCTCTTATAGAAGGCTTTAATGTTTCCTCAACATCTCAAAATATTTTGGACTTAACTTTCCTGACTTTCCCATCGCCTAAATTTGTGAACTCAATAAAGTTAGAGAAATTATTTATGCTTAAAAACCACAGCAGACTCATCTGGCAGCAAAACTTAAAATCGCCTTTGTGAGGTTGTCAGAAGCCAAGGAGTTCTTAGAACCTGGCATTATGAGCCATCACGCACACTTTTCACCCCCTGGACTTTATTCTGCTCAGACATAAGCAGCACCTGACAGACTGTGGTTAACGGCCAGCGTACCAGAATAAAACTGAAAAGACAATATAAGTTTTCATTCAGCAGATGAAACTTTGTATTTAGTCCTTTGTATTTAACCCACAGCAGGTATTCCATACAACTCTCCTAAATCTATGGAAAAATCATTGATTCATGTCGATATTCATCATGATCATTAACAACTTGTAGTCTAATACCAGAGAAGAGGCCAGCTTGGGAGGAAGGCCGAGTCTGTTTCTGGCCTGGCTCAGTTTCTAAGCAGAACTGGCAGCAGGAAGGACCTCTCAGTGGACTAAGAGTCTTTTCCAGCCGGGAGCACATTCTTCCCTAAAACCAATCCCCAGGAGGGTAAAAAAGATCTTGTGGCCTTCTAAGGAAGCAACTAAAAAACTTTTTTCTTCTCTTATTACTTTTTCCTGAAGCTTCACTTCAAGGCTGCGACCATCGGTGCCTCTGCCACATGTCTGGATTTCATTCATGAGTTGCAGTCTCTCTTTCCTGCTCTGCTTGTCACATTGATGGACGAAGCGGAAAGTGAAGGGAACATTTTTTGAGTGGTGTATGTGCAGTTTGGGTTATTTAAGTAAACGTTCACATACTGATCAAGCACTGTGTACTAAAGACTGGGAAGTGTCTTTGTTCTTAATAAAAGAATAAATATAACAACTTTTCAGGTTTCTTTCAGAAAAGTCAAAAGAAAAACTTAAAAAGGATCTAAACAGTTTCATTAAAAAACAGTGGGATATTTAAAATTATGTTTACTCTAGAGAGAGAGAAGTTGCACTTGGCATAAACACAGAGTGAGAAGGGAAGTTAAAACAAGAAATAATTAAGCTGATAAGAGCACGAAACAAAGTATCAAGACCAACTTAAAGCTTCAATTTCCCCCCAAGCAGAGAAGGTGATCTACACTGAAATAAGCAAAACCTGTCCAACAGATGCATATCACCATGGCTCAGTCAGAGAAGATTGAAGTTCAGGTTTAGTTTTAGCAGTAAAAAATATTGCAAGAACAGCTAGTGTGTTAGTGTCACTATATGCAGCGTTTTTCTGGGTTTACATTCACATCCATCATTCAGTACAGGAACATCAATCGAATACCTGAAACACTGCATTCATTCATTTGGAAATGGAAGATGCACAGAGGCACTTTGTGAGAGGAACAATGCT